ATGCCATCAACGTTTCTGCGAGTAACTCAAAAAGCTGTGCATACAAACTAACAGGATGCACCGTTAATAAACATAGACTGCTCTTATGTCTCCATCAACTTGCTTCTTCGTTCCGACTCTTTATATGGAATGCCATCCAAATTGCATTGACTCCAGCAACAACAAAACGTGAAATCACGGTTTACTGCCACCCGGATTTGAAATGTACTCTTTAAATGACATTCAAACTTTCTCTAGACTAAGGTTATTAAGCAGTGCATTCTCACGCTTTCCAATAATTTTGAAGGCATTATCTCTTGCGGAATGAACGATATCCCAAGGAGTGAAACCCACACCCAAGATCATCAAGAGCGCTTGGTGCCTCTTAAACAATCAAATGGGCTAATCCAATCTTTTTACTCTAAATCGATTGGGCTATGCGCACAAGGTAATGACCGTCGACCGTGTAGCTCAGGGATATGGGTTTGAAATCTGGACCCGAATGTTCGCGGTCCGAGTTCTGACAGGGACACAAAACGTACGCTCTGCTGACAAGTCCCAAGCAAGACGAAACAGCTGTCCAGCGCCTTTTGTCGGTCATCACAAACATTTCCATCATATTTGAATATTGGGTTCTCTTGCCGAATCTTATCTACTAACCAAGAACTAATTCCCATTGAACGATGTTTAGTTCAACAGATATTTTGGAGATTTTGTATTATTTTTCCACATTTTTAAATGTTTTGGAATAACTTGACTAGTCGTGTTCAAACTAATGAGTTGGAATTTTGTCGTGAATTTACTTTACAGTGCGTGTTGTTCTGTTGCGTGTTTAGCTGAAAATAACGAACTTTATCAGAGAGACCTATTCTGAACCACTAATTAAATATTGTAAACTGATAGTGAGATGTAAGGAATTATGAAACTTAATTGGATTTGCTATGAAATCGTGGCACTCATGGAGCCATGTGAAAGCTGCAATTATACCCGTAATTTTAATTTAATCTTCCGAAAATAGAGGGGTATTGATTCACAATAATTTACAGTACGTGTTCAGTGAATCGGAACTCTGTGACAACTTTGAGTGCAGTACGTCAGGGAAAAAACTGACAGGCCACAGTCAATTGATTGGAAATAGGATTAACATCTTTGTGTGAATAGGAGGATGTAAACGCAAAGGATTACGGTGGAATCCCAATAATAAACCTATGCTCCCAAGGGTATTGAAATTGAGTCCGGTAGTATTAATATGTACTATAAATCATAACGCATTCCACTGTTAGTGTGGACACTGACCGTTTTATTCGGTAGTCACCAACCCAAATAATTTTTCAATGGTTCACGTAATGATACTGACCGATCGTGATGCCCTAAAATATTCTTTATGATCAAATGGCGTTTCATTAAATTTATCACCTGTATAAATGCTTAAGGTATGGACAATAATTTATACCTTGTCTACTTCGTTCACGTAGTTTCTAGTCTGTATGATTGTCAACTGCCTGACCTTG